TCTCTTGGGGCAGCGGAAGCGCAGGTGCGCCACAAAGGGAAATTCAAACTGGAAACGTTGGCTGCAGTCCAGGCATGTGTAAGGGGACGACCCTGCTTAGAGAGCAAACCACACACACACACGCACACACACACACACACCCAAATGATTACTCAGCATCGTCTCCAGTTTATCATCACCCCCTTCACAAGTCCTCCTTCATTTCTCAGGGCCTGGGTGCCTGAAATGAGAAGATCCTTGGCGACTGATCTAACCTTCCCTCCCGATTGGGGGGAGTGCAGTAATTAAGCCAAGTGTCCACTCTCCTACCCCCACGACTTTTCCTCACCTGCCTGCCCCAGCTTCATTACAGACTAATCTCCGAAGCTTCCTTAGAGACGCCCAAAGGGAGGAGAGGCACACACACAGGCGCCGGAGTGAGCCCCCACTCCCTGCTTTGCTCCGCGGTTAGCTAAGGGCCCCCACACAGGTCTGGAGCCAACCTACCATTCATTTTGCTGTGGGGTCTAGAGGGGCAGAGCAAGAGTAACTCAGTCAGTTCTTTGCCGTACCAAACTAGCAACTCCTCGTCCTTGGCAATCCTGCGGAGAGAGCGGTAGAACAGCTGTCCGCTTTTTATGTAGGCTTCCAGGTTCTGCTCCTCTTTCTCTCTGGCTGACTGCACCAGGCGCAGCCACATGAGACCTTCCGAGGAACCATTTGCCGCGGAGGTGTCCACCTACAGTTGAGAAAAAAAGAAAGATTACAAGAAGGAAGGGGGTTGGGGGAGGGAGACTCTTGTGAGAGAGTGAAGCCAGAGGAACCAGGGCCATTTCCTGCGTGTCATTCTTTTCCAAAGAATTATCTGAGATCAGGATTCCAAAAACTTGACCCAAGTTGGCACCCACCCTCATGCATGTGTGTATCCAGCAGGCAAGAGAGTCGTCCTCTGAAAGTCTGCATCGATCATAGATTATTTCTGTAGTCTTTTTCACATATTGCTTGAATATCAAATGAGGGATTTTTCTTCCAATTCAAATTAGTGTTAACCTCTTGAGAATTTACTTCTAAATTATCCCATATTACAAAAATGTGGGGGGATTTGGTTCGTTTTGGAAATAAAAAGGTTTGATCTCAGATATTATTGTGTGGCTTCACTCATCTTCCTAATTTTAACTTAAACAATAGTTTTTATTTGTAGAGAATGGATAGGAAGTAAGAGGGCTTTTATCTCTAAACTTAAACATATGGATTAAATGTAATTTTATTGTCAAACCATATGTGCAAGAGGCAGCCAATCAATGTGTTTCTCTCACATCGATGTTTCTCTCTGTCTTTCCCTCTCTCTTCCACTCTCTCTAAAATCAATGGAAACATATCCTTGGGTGAGGATTTAAAAAAATACTTCTTTAACATTTTTATGTAAATCCTAACTCCCAGCACTAGATATCTTCTCCAGAAGGGGTAATATTATTTAGGGGAACAGAAGGCCTGCTATGTTGGAAGGCAATTGTGCCTAATACTTAGGATAAAAATACTTACAGAAAGTACTTATTATGCAAATAGCCTCAATCTTCTGAAAACGCCCAGAGTTAAGGTATTCACTAGGAAAGCCCAGAATTAAGGCACTGCTTTAGACATACCTGGTATTTCAAATCACATTTTATCATTTGTTCTCAGAAAAATCAGTTGACAATAACTTGAGTTTAAGTTTCCTTTTCAATTTTTGGCGAGCATTGGCCAAGACTTACCCGGAAGATATAAGGAACTGTTCTTTTGTCGGTGGACTTGAGAGCTATGAAAGCTATGCTGTCGTACAGGGAGGTATGGCTCAGGACGCAGGGCCCGAATATGGCATTCTCAGGGATGTCGCAGGTGGTGTACACGCTGGTGAAAATGTCTGTCAGACACTGTTGGACGGCCTTGGCATCTCCATCCCAGATGCCTCTCTGGATGCCTGAATCCTCCATCCCTGGAGACAAACACACAGGACACCAAACGGAGTTACATTTCTCCTTTTCCCTTTATGAAGCCAGACAGAGCGTTTTAACTACTCGACAGATTTTTCTTGAATTTTGTCTAGCTCTTATTTCAGAAATAAAGCCAATAGCAGATTAAACCCTGTGTAGTGTGAAGATGCCGATCCTGAAATAGTGGGAGCTCAGGGTAGGAGAGAGAGAGAGAGAGAGAGAGAGAGAGAGAGAGAGAGAGATATTGAGATTTTTTTCAGTAACTCGGGGTGGATGGGGCAGGATTTGGGAAGGGTAATGGTGGGGGAGAACAATCATATTTTTTACAGACTTTCTTGACTGAAAGAAACTTCTAACGCTTGGGAGAAAGCTCCTCTCCCTTCCTCCCGGGCTGATTTTACTTCATTTTCTTCCAAAGAGGGGAGCAGCATTAGCGAACAGGTGGAGACAGCCGAGCATGGCGAATGGATTTCAAGTAGAGTGTCAGGGCCACTGATTCCCTGTCAGCTAACCTTTCTCTGCAGCCTCCAAGAGGGGCGAGAGGGGACGTATGTCGGCTCATTACCATAATCCAACACTGTCCCTCTGAGGCTTTAATCAAAAGCAGCAAGCAGAGGTAATTATTTTCTTCTCGACATGCTTATTTATGGAGGAGGGTGAATCCCAGTTACCTTGTCATACAAGGGGTGGATTGAGTCACGTGTGCCTCATTTAGGGAGAGGTACAGGGCAGGCCAGACGTGTCCCCCGTTTGAGAGACTGTGTGGGTAATGACTGGTGAGTTCTCGCTCCCCCAGATCCGACCCTGTCTGGGCGAGAGGGGGCAGCCCCGCTAGGGAAGCCGTGGGTGGACTCTCCAGCTGTTTCATCCGCAGCAACTGAGAGAGTAATGCCCGGATGGAGGGCTCTCTATTAAGCTGTCATTTGACGTTTTTCTCCCTTTGCCACTGGACAGTGCCTATAAGGTGTATCATTTAAAAAACATAACTAGAGCTGGTATTTAAAATTTAAGCTAGCTTAGAACTGCTTTGTTCACTCTTTCTGATTGATTCAAAGACCCATCCCCCCCCACGTTGGGTTTTCCCTCCTAATGCCAACATAGGCAGTCATTGATGTATGTTTTGTGTAATTTAAGTAGCGGGAAAGTGTAGACCTAATTCTTTTCCTGAGAAGCTGTTCATTACGGATATTAGTGATGTCCATTTTTATCTTAATGTCTATTAACCAATTAATCTTGCAAATGTGATTACAAGGTAGTGCTTTTTTTTTTCCCAGTTAACAGAGCGTGAAACTTTGGTCAGCCCTTTTTTTTTTTCATTCACGCTGCTGCACCCCCCAAATGTCAAGTATTGGGCTGTATCTGCCAGACAGAAATAAGAGAAATAACCCTAAAGGAGAAACTTACTTTCTGCTACAGCGTCTATCTCTGGGCATTTTTACCCCCCACACAGTAGTCTTTCTAACCTCCAATTGAAAATCTAAATATATATGTTTAAAAATCCTCCAGAACCTCTCATCTCCTTTTCAACGAAATCCTGTTCTCTCCTTTACGATTTTCCCAATTCAGCGTTTTATGCCCCAATTTCTCCTTTTAAAAGTCTCTTTCACACAAGCGTTTCATTGTGCCCGGAGGTCGCCCCGTCACGTCGGGCAACAGCAGGGGCACGATCATTAACATGCAGTTCCACCGAACAATACGGAGAGAAGATCCTCGCTGCGCCGCGCTGACGGGGGCCGCGCTGCCGCCCGGAGCTCCCAGCCGGTCACCATACGCGCCGGGCGAGGGAGAGCCCGGGCTGGCTCCTCCACGCGGCGCGGCGGGCTTTGCCACCCCACCTCTCCCAGCTCCGCATCCTCCTCCAGGCCCGGGCTCTCCCCGCCCGAGCATCCTTCCCGGAGCCGGCCGCTCGCCCTCCCCCGGAGGCAGGCATTGTCTGGCGGCCGCGCGCTCCGTAGTCGCTCGCTTCTCGGGCAAAGTGCTCTCTCCCAGCTCCTCCCTTTGTATCATCTTATTGGCAGCAGAGATCCCCTCCACAACGATCCCCCCCTCTTCTGGATACTGAGGAAACCGAGGGACAGAATTTTCCACTCTCCCCACCAAACCTGCCTTCCTCCCCTCCCCCTCCCACCTCAATGCAAACAGACTTACCAGTAATCGGGTCGGGATGCAACGGCCAAAAAACGCCACCTGGAACCCGGAGATGCTACGGAGTGTTTCTTCCGCCTATTGTATCAGTGTATTTCCATGTCAGGAGGTGTTAGTGTTGCTGTCTAGTAGGCTCTGCCTAAAGAGAGGGAAGAGAGCTGGAGAGATGGGGAGAGTGAAATGATGGGAGAGTGAGAGGAGAGAGAGAGAGAGAGAGAGAGAGAGAGAGAATGAGAGTTGTACAGATGGACCCGATGCAGTGACTGACTGGCACGCAGACACACACTTTTTGTTTGCTGCACATAATCTGCCCAATGACGCGTGACAGCCCACGTCCCCTCCCTTTAACTCTTTGCTGGGCTGTGCGCTCCCTCCGGCGCTGTCTGCCTGGGAGCGATCTCTCGGGCCCGCCCGCAGCCCTCGGGGCCGGAGCGCCTTCCCCAGGTGGCAGAGAGCGCCCCTCGGAGCACGGCTGGCCGGCCTCCTCCTAATGCATCGCCCCCCTGGGACTGGTAGGACGGGAAATCAGTTCAGGGGTCCGAAAGGGAAGTACCAACAGAACTGGAAAGGGCCTTTCCCCGTTTCCCTGGGCACTTGGAGAACCTCTGACAGAAAGATGGACCCTCGGCGCCGCACCGACCCGACCCGACCCGCGCGCATTTCCTGGGGTCTGAGTTCTGTACAGGGGAGGGGGGCTGCGGATTAGCCCAAGGGATTCTCTGGCCACTGAGCCGGCACTGGTTCGCACAGCCAGTTGCCAGGGGTTGATAAACCAGCTCCAGCTCTCCCAGGAGCGCTCACCCCACCAAGCTCTTCCTAGCAAGCATCGGAAAGGATGCGCTTTGGTGAGAATTTGGCCCACTCTCTCTGCGGAGCCGGAGACGGGGCAAGGCAGACAGCGTGGCGATGCTGCCAGACCTAAGGGGATTTACAGGGCTCGTCTGGTCCCGGGACACCAGGACCGGTTGCGGGAAGGGGTGAGGGGAAGATGGGTGGGCCGAACCCAGGTTAGAGTCCTCACTGTTCCGCCCTCTGCCCCGCGCGT